ATCTCATTCTCTGGTCACTGAGACACAAAGAACAAGATGACACTGGAAAGGCAAAGTTGTGGGGAAAAAAGCAGTACTTGAATTTTACATAACTACATCAATCAGAGAGACAAACTGCCCTCTAGGACTCCTTGGATATCCCAGTAATGACAGCTTGACTTCTGTGAAGAAGCACCTCTCTGGCTTTCTATTTCTTTACTTCAAGATTAAACAGATCTTGGGCTGGGGATGTGACTATAGCGGTAGCGCAATTGCCTGACATTCGTGCGGCACAGGTGCGGCCCGGGTTGGATACTCAGCACCACATGCAAAACAAAGATGTTGTGTTTGCCGAGAACTAAAAAAATAAATATTAAAATTAAATAAAAAGATTAAACAGATCTTAAATTTATGATCCATATAAATTTATTGATCATCAACTATGTGAAAAATCTAAGGCTAGACTCTGGAATGAAGAGTTCTTTAAGCCACTGTGCATTTTCTAGCTTGCATGGTAATTGCTCTCTAATTTAGAAACTGTATGTTTACCAAGAGTTTGTAAAAAATATTCTATAATTAGAAAGAGGCATATAACTCATATAAGCATATATTACATTAATACATCTGAATAAATGAAGCACATGAGATCACAAAACAAAAACATAAAACTAAAACTCCTCAAACAGATATAAAAAGTGCTCCAATTACAAAGCAAAATAACTGTCTTTTAGGTCCAAAGCATGTGTTTTCAAAGTCCTATAGCTAATAAATGCTTATACCTTCTTTATTCCAAATTTATTGCTAAGCATGCATTATCATAATTTGTTTGAAGTATCATGTGTTGATATAATGTTTCATTTCAAAATACTGTCTTAAGAGAACTAAGAATTTTTCTTGTAACATCCATCACTAATTGTATTAGTACCATAGTTATATGGTGAATTTTGAGCCTATAAGAGAGGTTTCCTTAAAATTTAAAAATTCTGTGTCACTGAAAAGGTAGGAGATATATTATATTCAAGCTGACCTTATTGTCTAGGTAATATAAATCTGTCAAAGTAAATATATGCAGATATTTGGTCATTTTTGAGTTACTGATCTATGTATAATAAGTAAAATTTAATTGTATTTGCAGATTTATGGAACTGTGCTTCAAAATGAATGTGCCTTGAGAAATAATATTAGTGTATTTAACCTCTATATCTATGTCTAGAAAATTTACATAATATCATTAAAATTATATGATTTCTGTAGAAATGCTATTCACTGTATAGTATTTTGAGGAGACTTAGGAATTGGTATTTTTGCTTCAAATATGATTTGTCAAAAATAAACATAACTTGGTTATAAAGTTTTTTGTTTTATATTATATCATCAATTTATGGTGACATTATTATTCTCTTTCAAGCACAACTATATATAAAATATAGTAATTTTTTTTCTTGGTGTCACGTTATCTTCCAAAATTCTTATCCTTTGTGAAAAAAAGATAATTTTGTAGTGCAGAATTACATCCTAATAAAGCCTATTTTATTTCCTCCAATCTTAATCATGGATCTAAATTCATATTAAAATGTATTGAACATTTTTGATTGTGTATTATAAGCCCATAAACTAACTATCTTACTTAGAGATCTGGATCTTCAAATATACAAGTTGATTTTACCAACAATGAATTAAAGTAACAGTAAAAGAGAAGCATAAAATGAGGTAAACATCCACAATGAAAAGAGGAGGTAATCTTCACTGACAAAAATACTTTAAAAAACTTCTGGAAAACAGAAAGTCTGAAAGTAGATGAAGGAGGCATTTGAGTTCTAATTAGGGCTTCCCAGGTGGTGGATTAAGATCATGACTAGGCATCTTGGAAGTCCATAAGTTAGTGTGCTTCAGATCAGCACAATGGAAATAAAGGGAAGAAAGCACATTTGGGCACACAGAATCTGGGGTTGCAGTCTAATCTCAAAGGAGGCTTCTGCTTACTCAAAGTGAAATTATGGATCTATATTGCACTCTTATATATTTCCTACTTGAGACATGAAGTGTGATTTACATGAGTATCAGACAATCTTCAGTTTAGGAAGCCTTAAATGGTAATAGCCAGAAAAATAATCTTATACTAATGAAAATATTTTGAAAAGACCACTTTCAGCAATTGTCTGAGAAATGAATCATTCAGTCCTAATGGTGCCATAAAGCATAGTTCCCTATAGTGACACCACAAAAACTCACTTTTCAGTCTAAGTACTGTACTTAGTTTATGGTACTGGTGAGACTCAATTTCTGAAGAAAACGTATAAGAATGGAAAACAGGGCTGGGTATGTGGCTAAAGTGGTAGCGTGCTCGCCTGGCATGCGTGCGGCCCCTGTTCGATCCTCAGCACCACATACCAACAAAGATGTTGTGTCCGCCGAGAACTAAAAAATAATAAATATTAAAAAATTCTCTCTCTCTCCTCTCTCACTCTCTTTAAAAAAAAGAATGGAAAACAGTACAATTAATTACGATTTTGACAGCTGTGTAGACTGAATGTCAAATTAATAGTCATCTTGTGTCTCTTCTGCTGTTCAATTTAGATCCACTAAACATACTTCTTTTGGTCTCTATACTTATCCCCAAATCATTTGAGGATCCTCACTATAATTTTCTAAAGACACAACTACTGCATTGATCCTTTTACCATTCCTGTATGGAAAGTGAATTCGAAAAAGTAGAAAATTGGATCATCTGTTTTCAAACTGAATCATCTGATTTTTATCTTCCAATATACAATAGATTTTTATGTTTGGATACAGTGGATACCACGGTCATAGACCAATAGTAATATTTTTTTTATTTTTGTTAAGTGTGGTCTTATTCAATTTTAGGCATGATGTATTGGCACTTTATTAGTGGCACTTGCTTAGCATTGCAACATGGAATCAATGTCCTTCTGGTGAGGAGAGTGAATTGACCTAGCTAGGATTGTAATTTCTCCTCTTGTTTTCTCTTTTCTTAGTACATAGAATTTAGAGTCATTAGGTGCAGTTTAAATTTTAGTTGGAATTTTGTTAGATATCTTGTTGAAAAAGTGTTCTCTTAAATAATTAGGATTTCTAAAAGTAGAGGATGCAGAGGAATGGCGTAAGAAAATATAATTGATAAGTGCATTAATAGGAGTGATGGTGAGTTAAGACTCTAAAACTTTGACACTCTTGTTCCTGAATCTATATAGTGTGTCTCTTGGTAGCACAACCTGATATAATGATGTGAAATTTAAGAAGTTTTAGAAACACCATTAGCTCTTCCAGAATTCTATCAGGCCAGCAGCCTTTTGGTATTTTTTTAGATGATAATACAGTGGATACCATGGTCATAGACCAATAATAATATCTTTATTTTTGTTAAGTGTGGTCTGATTCAATTTTAGGCATGATGTATTGACACTTTATTAGTGGTACTTGCTTAGCATTTATTGTCTGTAAAAGCAAAATTTTTAAAAAAAATGTTTGGGTTTTTCTGGTTAAAATTATTTCTGGGTTAAAAGACATCAACTTGTTAATTTATTATGAGAAAAAGATGAAAAGAACAATGCTGTAACAAGAACCTAGATATAGATCTCTCCTCCTAGCTGGCTAGATATTTGGAAGAAGCATTTGATAGATAAAATAAGGTGACTGGAAACCTCTATGGTACTCAGTCCTTATTCATCCTGTGCAGCATCAGAGGCTGGATAAAAACAACTAGTCAAGTTCAGTTGTCAACTTGGTTGTCTTGTACAATGTCCATGATGTATGTGCTTTGGTATGTGATAGCATGAAATCCCATGATATTTTCACTGGTTTCTTCCTATTATTGGTTTCTTCCTATTATTTTATGTACATTCTCATGTACCTTCTTACCTGAGGTAACTTCTTTTTCCACGTGAAAT